ACAGTGACAAAGCTAGGCATTAACTAGTTAGATAGTTAAAGTTAAGTTAGTAAGTTACTTTTTTAGTACTTAACTAGTTCGTTTTAATTCATATTAACTTTGTAACTTAAATAGTTGAATTTAATGTGTGAATAGTCTAATCTAACTCGTTAGAAAAAAAAACTAACTATAGTTATTATTATTATTATTTTTTTCATACCAAAATTCCAAAATATTTCCTTAATTAATTTCCTTAATCCTGACATTATGCCTATATAGATTATTAGCTCAAATATATTATTAATTATTAGTATTTATAACTAGATGACTTTATCAGTGATAAGTGATATATCAATTCATTTCCAATTAATTGAAATTATTACTTACCTAATTAGAACATTTGGATCAGATTACTAGGTGTTTAATTTAATTTTTCAGTTTTAATCAATAATTTAATTAGATATCTAACTTATTATTTATATTTCAACAAAAGATTTTTAATCTATAAAAAAAAACTAACTTCTAACTTCTACTCTAACTAAAATTACTATTTTCACCAAATACTTCCAACTAACTAAGTTAGAAATTTGGACAGTTTCAGAAACGTTATATAAGTTATTATATTCTAACTTAGTTAGTTTTTTTATTTAAGTAACTTAACTTGAACTAGTTGAAAAAAATGACTAACTTGCCCAGCTTTGTACAGTGACCCACTTATAACATACTATTATAGTAACCAGAGCGACATCCACTTACCCGATTTTTTAACAATAGGTAAGTAGGTAGTTAATTTAAAAATAATTTTTTTTTTCAAAATTAATAAATTTAGCTACAATTTTAGATACCTACATAGTTATTTCGAAATTATTATAGTATAAGTAAAAATATGCAAGTAGGTATTTACGTGTATTTCTAAACTATAGTTAAGTATAACGTATACGTAACTTTGTGTAATAACGTCATTGTTAATACTAAATCGAGTACTAAATTGATTGAAACGCTACACGCCACAAACAATACACATAATATATAATACCTATATAATTATAATTGACAACTAAAATGAATATTTATAAGTTCTCAGGAATGATTGGATGACGGATATAGTTCAATTCGAACTATATTTTATTCGCTTCTATATTGTTCTATAATTCGAACATAAGTTACCTGTTTTGAACCTGAATGTATATTCTAACATACATACCTTTTTTTTTAACCTGAGCTCAATTCGAATATTTTGATTTAGGTAAGGACGTAAGGAGTACAGTTAGACAATCCCCCTCGCAACTCTTACGTATAGTATTTCTTGGTACCTACTACCTACCTATTAACTATTTAGCTCATAATAATATATTAAATATTAACATGACTTAAAAAAAAAAAGAAACGTTAAATAATGTTTAAGCATAGGTAGCTAGCCTGCATGTAGCCGGTGGGTAGCAATCAACATATAGGTATTGTGTATAATTTACATAATTAGGTACCTACACTGACAGTGGTACACATAACGTCATGGCGGACAACAGTCACTTTTTGTTACTTGTTAATTGTTATGTGGTAACTGATAAGTGGTAGGTATATAATTTATATGGGTATCTACTACCTATCATCTACAGCCCTAAAGAGAATTGTATTTTGTCAGGTACCTAATAGGTACGTTAAACGTTTTTAATCCTTGAAGCACCTTATTATAGTTATGTACCTTCTATTTGTGTTAAAATTATAACAATTCTTGTTTGTAATCCAGTACTTGGCATACATAGCAATTTTTGGCAAGCTAATTTCCGCTTAGGAAACCCGTGTTCCTATACATTTTTATCTCAATAGGTACATTCCCTATTCTCCATCTTACGTAACTTATACGTGTCATCTGAGGCAAAAGTAGTCTCATTTTATAGCAAAAAATAAGTGAGGGAGCCAGGGAGCTAAAGGCATAAATGCAGTTTAGCTCCTAAGCGACTTTTGGAATTTTTTTTTTCAAAATGCGTGTTTTGTGCATGCCCAATTAGATGGTACTTTCAAAAAAAAAACCTATCGTACTTACTTATTATGTTATTGGTAAAAACCACCTTAAACTGATTATAAAGTTATTTCAAACATTTGCATATTGGAGAACTCAAAATTTATTTTTTTTTTCATTTAATTATATATTATATATATAATTAAATTAATTAATAATTATATAAAAAATATTGTATTAGGTACTATGTAAGTATTTTTGTGGACATACAATATATTATTTACAGTTTCCACTTCATGAAATCAAAAACTTTTCATGAATAGATCGATTTTGTATACGAATACCTAGTTAGGTATACCACAGATTACATTAAAAAATATACTATATATAATTGTGGTTATACTGTTTCCGATCAGACATCATTATTATATTATAATAAATACATATTAAATATGTTTGACAATAATTAACCATTAAAAGTATCCATCTGGTATTTTAATTTTACAGTAAAATCTAGACAAATTTGTTACTTGGAGTAGTAAAAATTTTCTCCAAGGCTCCAACTAAGTATAAATAATATTGTAGGGTTATAACTTTTAGATTCTGAGTGGAACGAAGAATGTATTGATTTTACAATGATGTTTGTTTTTTTATTTATTGTCTGTCTGTCATCACCTTTTAGGACAGTAAAAGTGCTTAGATTTTCTTCAACAGTATCTTTTCTGAAAGGAAAGTGAATCTAGTTGGTACTTTGGAGGGTCAAAAGTAAAATTTTATAAAATAAAATTTCCAGTAGTTTTCAAAAGCGCCGTGAAAAACAAAAGAAAAATTAAGGAAAAACGGGAACTTGTACGCAAAAGATGTTTTCGAAAAAATCGATTTTGGTTTTCGGTGTAATTCTTCAACAAATGACCGTATAGGTACATGACATTTTGACTGAATGTTCATATTAGCATTTTCTATACACCATAACATTTTCCAAATATTTTGACTTATTTTGAACTGTTTACGGACATTATCAGTTTTAAATATTTTTAGTTTTTTCTTTTATAAATATCAATAAAATTTTATTTGTTGGGTAAAAAAGCGTGAAAATGTAATGCAATAACCTGATATATTATTACAATAGCAGTTTAAAAATATTAAAAATACATAGGCACAATTTTTTTTTATAAGCATTTATTCAAATTTTGGCAAAATTTATCACATTTAAAATTCAGTAATAATTTTGTAGTTTTAAAATTGGATAAAATGTTCAACTTTTATAGGTACTATTAGGTACCTAAGGATTGAAAATTTAAAACAAGATTCCAAGTAAATAGGTTATATATAAATTACTTTATTCACCTTAATTCACCTTAGTTCATAGGCTGACTGACCATATTCGCTCAGAATCATTTTTCCCATACAATGATATTATATCATTGAATTCAAATTTAACACCATTCATTACAGTGACCCACTTGTAAATCTACTGTACAACAGAGCGACTTACCCACCTTTTTTTTTACTTTAGTATACGATTGATTTTAAAAGTATTAACTCATTTATAATATACCTAATATTATTTAATTTCACTGTTGTATTTGCCAAAATGAGATTTTACTTAGGTGCTGTAGCCTGTATAGGTACTAATGTACTATTATTACTAAAGGGTACCTACCAACCCGTTTATAAATAAATAAATAAATAAATAAATATTTATACAGCAATATCATAAATCACAAATTTAAAAAAAAAATTGTGATTGTTCAACTCTTTTTGGGTGCAACTCAGCCACCCTGGTAGGAAAACTGTGATCCATCTACATCGGATAGCGGACAATGTGTGAAAGCATATTATCATTATTTATCAAGTAGGCAATATGCGAAAATTTGATTTGATGCATGCATATAGACATCCTATAAACTATGTAGTTTATACATAGACCTTATACCATGACATATTATACTATAATTTGTCATGCCTTATACTAAGGTATACTTAAACAGTTATACTTAGTTTAAGGTCTATGAGTTTATATACTCTATTCAAAATAAGGCCGACAGCGTCTCACCACCGCCAGACAAAAACCGGTCGCCGCCTGGTCACGGTCTTATTTTGAATCACAGACTTCTATACTACACTAGATAAGAAACTCCTATACAATTTACATTGTTACAAGTGAACCTCAGGTGTGGACGGCCGCCATTTTGTCGGTTGGAAAAATATTTCATTAATTATAAAAAATGTATTAGGAATAATATTTTTTTTAATGGTCAAATAAAATAGGTAGTAAATGTAAAATTCCCTATATAAAATGTATAAAATATAAAAATATAAAATTGATATGCACATATTATGAGGAATCCACAACTCAATACAAGTTAGGTAAACTACATTACAACTTTATAATAACTTTTAAATAGAATTTTTAATTAAAATAAATTATCATCTAATATTCACATTACGTTTAAATAAAAAAATAAAGAAAAATGTTCTAAAGAATTTAATATAGGGAAATAAGATGGGGATTTAGATAGGGTACAACGTGTATAATGCCATTAGGTACAAGAGTATAAACTTATTGTATATTAATTGCGTTCCAAATATATATAACAGCAACTAAAAAAAGGTAACTTGCATTTTCATATAAACATTATATTATATATCATGACATTTAAAAGTAAATTAAAAATATATAAAATTTGATTTAATTTTTATGTTTAACATTTTAAAGAAAGATGTAATTTTTTATATAATATATAATAATCCAAATAAAAGTAAGACATCTATCTATTGATTAGTTTAAAATTTAAATAAAGAGATTTTATTTTTAATATTTAAACCAATTTGGATTATTCAGTTAAATAGTCAGATCATCAAGAAATATAAACAGCAAATACAATTTATAAAAAAACAGTTGCTTTTTATAAAAATATACAATCTATAGGGCACAATAAGTATATGAGAAAAAAGTACATATAATATAAAATATAAGTGGACAAACACTAACGAAAGAAGGCGACACCCATTGATGACACTTACAGCACCAAACAAACTTGTAAATCCTTTTTTTCTATTAATTGAACTTTAATAAGACTTTCCCAAAATTCATTCTTTCTGCCAATATTGTTTGAGCTCCAATTACCTTAAAAATTTAATGATACAAATATACAATAGTGTATAAAAATGTTTTAAACTATAAACATAAATCATAAAATGATTATGACGTATGACTGTACAATTTTATGTTATTTTTAGTTTGATTCAAAGTTAAACTTGGTACAATGTTGTTTTAGTGAAGTATTGTAAGAATGGTAAAAATGTTTGTGAAAAACTCTAAGAATAAGCTTGCAGATATTCTTAAAACAATCAGATGTGCCATTGTAAAATGTGTTTAAGATTGTTTTATTTGTTATACTTTAAAAATAATATACAACACATTTTTAATAAAAACTAATAATTAATGATCAAAAATAACTGTTCATTTTTAATGATTATATTACATATTGTTTTATACTAGCTATTAATTTTTAATAGTATTGTATAATTTATTTATTTTTTAATAAAGTTTTTAAAAATGTTTGTTGGAATCTAAAATTTAAGAAAAATTATCTACAATTACGTTGAAAGTAAAACGCGATAATTGCTATCATTAGAGTCTCATTTTGTAACAGGCCGATAGTAACTATTAAATTTTTTCAAAAGTTACTGTCATAGAATCATGCATGCATAATATTGTGAGAGTAAGTATCATGAAAGTTAGGATGGATGACTTTTAAATTTACAAAATAGGACCTATACTATAAGAAGTTTTGTCAAAATATTAAAAGAATTGTTAAAACAAAAAAATGTATTTATAAGTAAAAATACCAAAACAAAAAAAATAAAATCTAATAAAACCGCTTCAACGTTATACTAAACGGATTTATAATTTGGTCTGCAAAATGTACAAGCTACTAAATAACAAGTGCAAATCACAAACATTCTACCTTTAATTATAAGTCTAATATGTAATGATTAATGAATATGTTTTACTTTTATATGTATTGTTCTTACTAACATTATCAAATGGTAAGATCTCATGAATCGTTGGTTTTATTAAATTATTCTTCAACATTTTTAATAATTCTTCCATGATATAATGAATTTTCTTTGGATTAGAATCAAATAGCATACCCAAATGAAGACCACAAACAGTGATATTTTTTTCTATCATTGTTTGAGGCACCAAATTTTTTGTTTGCCACTTCATGGATAGTGATCTTACAATTTTTAATGTTTCTCCATTAATATAACAACTACCACCTAAAAACAAAAAATAAATTAATATTTTTCAATTTATGCAATACAAATAAGTAATAACATATTAGCAGGGCTGTGAATTTAATGCGGTGATAAACCTTAAAAATTCCTTTAAAAAGTCATAAAACTCAATAAAATATGCACTTAAAATGCAATAAAAAAACACTTAAAATGCAAAAAATTTTAGTATAAAATGTACTTAAAATGGTTTTTAATTTAGTTTTTATATTGATATTAGTATATTATAGGCATAAAAATGTATTTAATTAATAACAATTTTAATTTTGATTTTAACTTGATTGTTTTTTTTATAATTATATTTGGCTTTACTAAACCCGAATAAAACTTGTATTAAATATAAATTTTATATAATATATGCATGGAAAAATATACGTGATCATACAGGATAAACACCTTATTATTATGTTATATATCAAGATATAATAATTTTTAAATTAAAACCTCAATAAAAAAAAAGGCAATGTTCACAATCAGCTAAAAAAAAAGCACTCTCCTAAAAATGCACAGCCCTGCTTATTAGTCTTTAAATTAGGTAAGCATATTTATAAGTTTATATTCCATACAGTATACAATAAATAGATTACTAAATATCGATGACCAGTTTCCTACTACTAAGTAATCTTATTACAAAGAATATATCGTATACTCTTACATTGCAGGCCAAAGCAAACTACTTGTATTACATTATTTACTTAGTATAAAGTTCATATTATTTATGTTATTTTGATGAAAGTAACCTACCAATGATGACTAAACGACCACAAGGCTTTAGTAATGTTTGACTGATCTCAATATTTGGTCCACCAATACTATCTATAATTAAATCATAACCCTCTGGTGATACATTTTTAGCCAGTGTCTCATAGTTTTCATGATGTAACACATGTGAAACTCCATTTTCTTTTAATTGTTTATGTTTGGATGCGGAAGCGGTTCCAACAACAACTGTATCCTTTACAGTATTTGCCAATTGAGTAGCAGCACACCCAACACCTCCTGTAAAATAAAAATCATATTTAAATATCATCATGATAAAATTAAATTTAGTTCTATTTTTATATATATATATATACATATTATCATACACATAATACATAAAGAAATTTCTATTTTAAAATCCATAATACCTGCAATTGAATGTATAAGAACAGTATCTCCGGGTTGTATATTGCCCATGGTAAAAATACTCAAGTACGCAGTCAAATAATTGGCGGGTAGAGCAACTGCGTCTTGACCACTAACACTCTCTGGAACTAAAAAACAATTATTTGCTGGCACTATAACCTTTTCTCCAAACAGTCCTCCTGTCCAAACATAACATACTACTCGGTCTCCATACTATATAAAAAAGTCAATAAGAAATTAATGAATCCATTAAAATAAATTGCAGGATATTATTATTCAATGTTCGTTTATAATTAGTTTAAGCAAAACATATTATTTACACAACAATACTAATTATTATTATCATACATTTTTTAAAATATTAAAATATGTATATTATACAACTATATTTACAACCTATAATCTATATACACAATAGAGTAAAAAGGCAGACATTTATATTTACTGAATGACATGATTGAAAGGGGAGTCCAGTGACACCACTTTAAATCAATGATTAACAATAAATAACTTCATGATTTTTCATTACTTGAAAATTGTTCACTTCATTTCCAATAGTTTCTATTGTACCATAACATTCTGCTCCAAGCACACGGGGGGTTTTTAATTGACGTAGAAAACCTTGTCTAGTATATATATCACTAAAGTTGACACCACATAATTGAACTTTGACACATACACTTGTTGAACCTAAAAATTCAAGTGGCCAACATCTAATCTAAAATAAATTACAATTAAAATGTATAAATAATGTATCAGATCAATTTCATTATTTTAGACAAGTGTACAAGGTTTTAAACATAAAGTCGAATAATCTGAGGTTCTGTTAATGAACGGTCTCCTCTTCACACAATTTATGTTTGTATATACTTTTCTATATTATCCTTATCACCATGGACGTAGTATGCATGGGGGCTATGGAGGCTACAGCCCCCACAGAAACTTTTGTAGCCCCCTCATGGCGTTTACTTTAATGTTTTACATTATATCCGAAATTATAGTTTTAACTGTTTTTATAACTTTCTAGTCCTACATAGCCCCCCCAGATAATTATACCAAACTACACCCATGCTTATTACTTATTGTTTTTATTTTGTAAACAGATTGAATTTATATAGAAATAAAAAATAAAAATAAAACTTGAATAATAACCAAAATATTATACTTGATTCTAGATAATATGTATCAAATAAATTATACTATAGATAACTAATATTAATTACTATGTGGATAGTTAGATACCTACCAATCAGTCTTTTTAAATAGAACAACAATATATTTTATTAGATACTATTATAATTTATAAGAATAGAAACTGTTAAATATATAGTAGACAGTAGCCTCTAAGTAATAGATCACTTGCTAGTTTCTATCTACTATGCCCACCCTAAAAATTATTTCTATATACGCCACTGCATCTATATATTATATATTATTATTTATTATATGCTTATTAATAATAATAACCTAGCCAAACAATTGATAATGGTAAATTATACTTACTTTTATTTTATCATAACCGCCATAACCTTCCAACACTATGGATTTAACCTGTTCAGTTTGTTTGACATTATTCATTTTTAAAATGTTTTTGCGATATTGAATTATTTGAATTTTTAATTCTTATTGCAATTTCAATCTAAAACCGCCACTCCACTATAATATTATCAGATTATCTGGATATTCAGAGATAAAAATCATACAGGTAGCACGATTTAAGATAGTACTATCACAGAGTATATAACTATAAAAAAAAAATAGCACGAGAGAGTATCCCGCCGCCCGACGAAAACTCGTCCGATTCCGCGCATTCCCCACTACTCGGCATGCCGACAGCTGCCCGGCACCGGCCGGCAGCGCACGACGCTATACAGTGTGGGTTGTAATATAAACTGTTTACAGACTGTTGTAGCGTTTGTGTTTTTGTTCTGCGTCGTCGCGTCGATTATTAATTGTATCATCTGCTTCGTGTACACAGCGCGCTTATTTTTTAAAAATATTATTTGCACTGTGATCTGTGATATACTAATATTTTCAAAATGAGTGACAATGAGACCATGAGTACAAACACTTCTGTCACGCCGGCTGTTGACAATTTGCAGAATCAACAAGTATCATTGAGTTCACCCGTTAAAAAAAATCGATGTGGAGCGGTAAGCATTTTTCAATTATTTTAAATTATATATTTTAAAATTGGTAAACGGAAAAAAACCATGGAAACAAAAACCAAATTTTTAAATTTTGCTATATTATGTTATATATTATAGTTATGTCATAGTTTTAATTTTCTAATTAAAAATGTAGATCAATAATCCAGCTTATACTATAATTCAAAACAATTGTATCGGTAACATTATAATAATATAAATTCTATTCATTTTTTAAATATTTTTTTTATATATATTTTTTTTGTAGTTTTTAATACGATTACTTTTCTGTTTTTTTTTATTATACTTCCATACAGCTTACAAAATATATAAGAAAATATCAAAACCTTTTTTAAAATAAGTTACTTCAATACAAACATTGGTTGCTAGAGTAATAATAATAATAATAATAATAATAATAAAAATAATTTATATTATAAATTAATTTTACAATAAGTTATATCTTACAAATATGCACATAAAATGCGTCTGTAAGAAATAATTATGTTTATATACTTTTAAGGCTAGGCTTAGGTTAGACACGGAAATATTACTCTTAAAACTGAAAATATAGTATAATAAAGTTAAGCTGGTTTTTATGTATGAAAATAATAAAAATATATTGTAGGTATGAACTTATGTCTAATGAAATAATATGACATAAAATAGCTTTTGTTTTTTTATTCCGTGGTTTTTATTTTTTTGTTTGGTTTTTTTTCCGAGATTCTTTAAAATTATATAAATAGTACTAGCCAGCATACATTTTTTACTTAACTGCATATTTGTTTCAGTTCGTTGGAAGCAAACAGAGAACATTGGTAATTAATATGTATAAGGCCAAAATTCAAAAACAGCCAGATGCGAAGTTCAATAATTTAATGAAAATAATATCCGAAGAAAGCGGCATTGGATACACTACAGTTTGTAAAACTGTAAGAAATTATAAAAACAATAAAGAAGTGAAGTCACCCAATAAAACAAAAAATCGTCCAACAATCAACGACAAAGTCGACGATTTTGAGAAAAACGCTATCAGGCAAAAAATCCATGGATTTTGGATTAAAAATGAGATTCCAACATTAAAAAAAATCGTTCAGGCCATCAGTGATGATATGGAGTTACCTACAATACCCAGGACATCTTTGCAGCGTATTTTAAAAGAATTGGGGTTTGAATATACGAAGAGAAACCGGAACAGCGCCCTGACCGAGAGAGGAGATATTGTGGTATGGCGGCAAAAATATATTCTAGACATACGACGTTATAGGAATGAAGGTCGAACAATATATTTTCTCGACGAGACATGGGTGAATGCGGGAGAGACTTGCAACAAGGTGTGGTCCACCGTGTGGATGGACAAGACAATCAAATCGCACAGAGATGCTTTCCTAAAAGGACTGTCGACCGGGCCAAAAAATCCGACAGGTAAGGGCAAGCGATTAATTGTTGTTCATATCGGCTCAGCTGAGGGTTTCGTCGAGGGTGGTCTACTGTGTTTTGAGTAAAAAAAAAACACAGCAGACTACCACGATGAAATGAATGGGGACACCTTCTATGACTGGTTTTGCGGAATTTTGCCTAAACTGAAAGATAATTCCGTGATAGTCATGGACAATGCTTCCTACCATTCCGTCAAACTGGACCCCATTCCCACAAATGCTTGGAAAAAGGACAAAATTGTACAATGGTTAAGTTCCAAAGGTTGTAGTATCGAGACGCCGATGGTCAAACATTTAATGTTGGACAAGGTCAAAGAAATTAGACATCTTCATGACAAATATGTGATTGACGAAGAAGCATCAAAATCCAATAAAATTGTATTGCGTTTGCCGCCTTACCATTGTGAGTTAAACCCAATAGAGTTGGCGTGGGCGGCTGTGAAAAATCACGTAAAATATAATAATACAACGTTCAAGCTAAACGACGTACAAAAATTACTGGTCGATGGCGTCAATCTTGTAACACCAGACATGTGGGCCAATTTCGTCAGACATACCATCAAAGAAGAAGATAAATTGTTCAATATCGATTTCATTACTGAAGAATTTGAAGAAGAAGGAACATCTCACGTATTGACAATTACAGGAGATACTTCTTCCGATTGTTCCGATTAATTTTAAATTGTGTATAGTTATAATAATAATAATAAGTTGTTTTTTATATTTATGACGTGTACCTATATGTACTAAAATATTTTATAATAATAATATATATACATAATAAGTTGTTTTTTATATTTATGACGTGTACCTATAGCTATTAAAATATTTTATAATACAGTAGACGCCGCTTATAAGACTCACGGATATAAGGTTCAGTCGCTTATTAGACTCAAAATCGCCTGGAACCTAACCTAACCGGACGTATCCAAATACATTAAAAAAAAATCGGTTGTAAGACTCAACACTTCGGTTATAAGACTCAAATTTCCATCACCGTGGTAATAATTTTAATATATAATACGAATACGAACAGTATATTTTCGGAATATTAGAACAAAATAAAAAACAAACTAAAATTACAAATTTTTTTCAAAATAAATAATAAATACATTATATGTACAACGATAAAACGTTATTAAATAACGATGAAATTGTATCAATTAAAAAAAAAAATAGTCATCGTATGTTTGTACGTATGGCACTACATCACTCTGTATAATGTATGTAATCACTGCATACACTCTGTATTCACTTCATGGCATGCCGCAGTCGCGGAAATAGTGGGGGAAATGTGGCCTCGGAACGGTATCCGCCGTCAGTATGCATGCGCAAAACGAGGATACTCTCTCGTGGGCCGGAGTTTTTTTATAGCACTATTAGTACCACTAGCGTCTAGCTCTATTCTGATATCTGTTAGCAAGGACTGGAAACGACATGTCGACATGGTCGGCGGGGGTCGGACTCGGGGGACGGCCATGAAAAGGTGTCACTAAGAATACTGTTCTTGAAGTTTTCAGCGGTACCGGTGGTTTTATTTGACTTCACAATTTGTATCTTAGTCCCTGAAAACTAGTAAAATAAAATATAATAAAATATAATAATAAAAGAAAATAATATAATATCTTAAAATCGTGGTAGGTAGTTGTATACTTGTATCTGTGGTTCTATGAGTAAAGTATTATTATTTGTGATATTTATATTACTGAATGTACTCGATGTAGGACAGTGGCGAAGCCAGAATTTTTTTTCGGGGGGAGGGGGCTGTTCAACTTTTACCACGGACTAAGATATACTTAGTCCGTGACTTTTACCGAACTTTTTGTGCGACTATCATAGACCATAAAAATAATTTTTTAATTTTCTTAACATTTCGGGGGAGGGTGCAGCCCCCCCCCACTCTGGCACGCCACTGATGTAGGATCACTGCAGCGTCGCGCCGTCGCATAAGTTTCCACACCACCTAGCTTGTTAAACGATATATCACATCATCCATGTTTAAAATTAGGTATTACACGTGGAGCGTTTTTTTTATTGTGGTATCCGCTGTAGGCGTAATCCACATCGCAAGCGAAGTTGAGAGGTGCACCATGTCGTCCATAAGTCTGAACTATAGCAGTAATTTAAATATAGGTATACAATTTACTGGCCGAAAAATGATGTATTAGTCACAATTTAGTACCTACTTACTGTTTCACAAAAATATGAAAAATACAAGTAGTACCTACATACTACGTAAATAAACATTTAAAATTATTGTTAATAAAGACAGTGTAAAGGGGAAATTATACAGAAATCATTATAATTGGTGCACCCCTAAAAAATATTGGTCTAGTTGTGCCTACGTGCTTGTAGACATTTTTTTTTTTTGATAAAGGTAGACTACTAGACTATTCACTCTAGTATCAAAACTAACTGCATACTATTGAAACTAGTGAACAATAATTTGCTTATGTCGTGCGTGTGTAAGATGGAGACAACAAATGTATGGGTAGCATCCTTTTAAAGTAGAATTTTAGAGCAAACTGTTTAAAATATTGTATGTTTTTAATATATTTTTTTGCTTGTATAGTTGTAGGTACCCATGTGATATGTATATTCAAAATTCAAATGTGCATTGAATAGTAATAATATAATTGCTAGCAAATTTTCGTCCCAAACCATGTGACCAAAAAAAAGTGATATACCGACCTATATAAATATTCTACATTTCATAGAAAATGTTCTGGTCAATTAAGCAATGAAGACTAAAATTGATTATGACAAATTTTTATCCCTCATAAGTCATAACCAATAATATTCAAAAACAACAGTATTTACTATTTAGTCAAACATCATGTAAGAATATACATAATGTTTTTTTTTTATACTTTTCCAGTTTCCTTATTGGTCTTGAAATTATAAATAATTTCGGCTTCGATTACTGAGGCCATTTAGCATACATTTGTATATACATAACTTAAAATCTATGGAAGAGTAAAAAACAAAAATACTGCTGTTTAGTGCATGAACAATTGACATTGTTTAATGTTTTTGCATATATAAAGATTCTACGCAAAAAATGTATTAAAATTATGCAGAAATTATTATAAATTGAAAAATGTACTATGCATAAATAAACAAAATACCACAATTACCACTTATTAGACACCCTGTTTCCATTAAAAGGTTTTTGATTGAGAAAACAAAATGAGTAATTAAGATGGGAAAATCAGATTAAGTTGAATGCAGAGTGAGAGTATTATTGAAACATAGCACACTTTTTGATATATACCACTTCAAAGAGAATGTATGAATCATAAATATGTAATAATTATCGTATTACTAGGTCAATCAGTATGATGGACAAATTAATGGTATGTTTTTGTTAAAATAACTGTCTGTCACTAATCTCCTTAAATGTATTATTTACAATTATTAGTACGCATTCTAAGTGGGTAAACATTGTCTTCTATGACGTTTCACCGCTAGTTGGTTGTAGCTGGATTGTGACTTGAAAGGGTAAAAGTTAAATATTATTTTCTTTTATCCTTTTCTTATCCAATAATTGAAAGTGCATAAATTTTAGGTAGACACATTGACATTCAAAATAAGAATGACTTAATAGTTTACTTAAATTAAATATAATATCATATCATCACAATACTAATTAATTATTTAAATATATACAAGTGTATTTCAGAAATATTACAAGACATATATTATATTATTATTATTTACAATAAATATGGAGTGGGTGACTGATTTTAGTTCCATATTGTTTATTACTACTAACAAACAATTTAGTTTCAAATTGTTAACACTTTAATTAATAATTAATTTTATATTGTTTACTAAATTGTTATGTACGGGAACATTCAAAATGACAAATTTAGAACTTCTTTGAATTAAATGTACTTTTATTACTACTAACAAACAATTTAGTTTCAAATTGTTAACACTTTAATTAATAATTAATTTTATATTGTTTACTATATTGTTATGTACGGGAACATTCAAAATGACAAATTTAGAACTTCTTTGAATTAAATAATTTTATTAGTAACCCGTGCCCCGTTGTATGGAACATTATACAAAGTAATGGTAAACATAAAATAAACAATATATGTGAGACATGGAACAGATTTAAGTACATAATGGGGACTGGAATCCTTCAAATTTGGCTAGTAAGTGTGGATGGCTAATAGAGTTGTTTGTAGTATATAATATGTCCTAAGTCATATACACTAATTATAAGGAGCTCCTCGACAAATAAATATATAATTAATTATTTAATTCAATTAAAACAAAAAACAATTTACCCAGTTAATTGAACACAAATCTCTACTTAAAGATAGACATTTTTAGTCAATTTCATGAAAAAGTTGACATTGCAATCAAGTTTGATTTCAATGAATATAAAGTTGATTTTTTGAAATGAATGGTTATTGGGTAAGTTATCTAGTAAGAAAATCAAAAATGTAATCAGCTGTAACTTGTAAGTGTAATATTTTTTTTAATCGATTTAAAAAAAGTTAACATAAAGTTACTAAAAAAAATATTCCAAGTAAAACAATTTTTGATATTAGATTAAACTTTTCTTAAGATTACATGATAAGGAACATCATTGTAGAATATTGGTTATCTGAGAAGATTCTTAGGATGTTACAGACATTTTTGGGACAAACTACGTACATAGTTAACTTTATAGTGATTAATATATAATTTAATTGAGTTATTTTTCTTGGACTCTTTTTACCATTTATGATAAAAGAATGTCCTAACATTATTCCGTCCACTTTTTATATTAATTGTACAACATATTATATGAATCTCACCCAAGACAATTTTATTATTTTAGATTTTTCTCAAAATGCCTTGTACATCAGATGGTGCTAAATCAAAAGGTGTTAATTTTTCTTTATTTATGAGAGTGATATCAGCTCCACTTTTAATCAATAATCCAGCTTCTTGTACACGTCCTTCTTCACAAGCTAAATGGCTAGAAAAAATTAAACTATTTATAATAAAAACTTAATTTTATCGATTGTAGAAATCAGTAGTTTTTAATTTTATTACAGTGGTGTGTTTCCATAATTATCTTTAGCATCTACATGTATATCACAGTCCAATAAAATTTTTAGAACTGACATGTTTCCTTTTGATGCACATCTATGTAATGGTGTTGCTCCTCTATTATCAGCAATATCAACATCAGCGCCTTTTGATACTAAATATCTGACAATCTAAATAATTATAATAGAGAACATTATAATATTATATATTTAATATTAGTTATTTATTTTGAATAATATTTAATATTGACTTACTTCTGTCCAACCTTTTGAAGCTGCATATTGAAGTGCAGAATGTCCTTCTTCGTTTTTTGCATTAATATTTACTCCATATTCTATAAGAGTTTTTACTGTATCAATGCGGCCACCTGATGCTGCCAATATAAGAGGAGTAGTTTGCATCTGAATGAAATGACAAAGATTTTAAATTTACTTTTACATATTATATAATTTATATATTTACGTCATCTCGAGAATCTTCTGGTTGACCATTTTCGAGAAGATATCGTACAAGTCTATCATGGCCCCCAAGTGCTGCCCAATGAAGGAGCAAACGATTGTTCTTAACATGTATGGATACAAAATTGGTTAGATTTTGGTTGTATAATTACTCATTAGTAAGCAAGCAAAGTAAAATTTTATTGTAAATAACATTCAAATGATAAATCAATGACTTAAGTTTTTTAAATTGGTTATGCTTAAAAACTAAAATTATTCATCATAATATTACATACAACGTCCACTTCTTTTAACAGCCTCAAATGCTCTTCAACTGCTTTCATAACTTCTTCAACATTACCTTTGTGTGCATCTTCAAAAGTTTTTTCCTTTACCTTTTCAAAATCCATCATAAATAGTCTATTAAAGTATTAAATGAGTACTAAATAAGTAAGTATAATAATAATATATAATATTCACTAATCACTATGCAGTACTCATTATAATAAATAATATTTATATATTCACTAGTCACTTATCAGTAATCAGTTATCAGTTATCAGTATATATATAGTGTATACCACGACCAAGGTGTATTTATACAACATTGTTCCATGTTCTATGGTATCATCGTACAAACCTTATCAATATTATCAATAATGATTAATGAATAATAATCACCAACCATCCGAGAGGCGAGCCTAGCCGCCGAGGACCGATCGAAGATCACGCGATCACTCATTCCCTAACTTCATTGTTATCTATACCTGTAATCTATCATTCACTCCACTAGTCCATACACCAATCGCTACTGTTCATTAATTATTTAAGCACGTGATGTCGTGATGTACTCAAAATTATTTATGAGTTACTTTTCAAATCTCAAAGCAGGAGTAATGAGTTGCCGAAAACAGTAGGTGGGACTCAGTACGAGTTTGTGATATAATTGTTCATTTACATCCCTGGTAAGTACGATGGTTTTTAAATTTAAAATTTACTACCTACGCTTTCAAACTTGTCTATTATTTGATAATAATAATAATAATAATTTTAAAATAAACCCGCTTTAATTAAATTCAATATTATATTATATTGTGTGTGTTTGTAATTACATACAATGGAAGTTTTTTATTAAGTTATTTAAATATTCGCCAGACACTGTCCCCAAGTTCATTATTTGTTCTCATTTGTTGCCAGAAACTACCGATCGCGCCATGGTAGTCCAGAAGAAAGAAAGCGTGTTCAACACACTCAACGAATGTGAAGTGGAAGATATTACTTTAGAGTTTTTCTACAAACCTCATACCATAACTCTATTAATATTGTCAATCATTGGTGTGATTCTTATGTCCTTTATTCGAGATGACAAATCGATTGATAGCAATATTTGTGCTGGAATCTGGTGCGTTATATTTTTTTTGATTCTTGTATCTCTATTGGCATTCCCAAATGGCCCATTTGTGAGACCTCACCCAGCAGTCTGGCGAATGGTATTTGGACTAAGTGTTCTATACTCGTTAACATTGCTATTTTTATTATTTCAAAAATATGAAACTATTAAAGGAATGATATTATGGCTTGATCCTAATCTAAAAGATTTCCGAATTGATATGGATAAAGAGTATGGTGTTAACTGTTCAGATATCTCTGTAGAGAAGTTTTGGGCGCATTTGGATGTATTTGCTGCCGGTCACTTTTTTGGATGGGTATCAAAAGCAATACTAGTGAGGCATTATGGAATATTGTGGTCAATGAGTATGATGTGGGAATTCACTGAAGTAATGTTTTCTCATTTATTGCCTAATTTTAAAGAATGTTGGTGGGATGCATGGATTTTAGATGTCCTGCTTTGCAATGGATTTGGTATATGGGTCGGAATGAAAATTTGCAAAATGTTGGAAATGAGAGACTATAACTGGCCTGGTATTAAAGATATTGACACAACTAAAGGTAAAATCAAGCGAGCTGCACTACAGTTTACACCAGCTAGTTGGACACCAGTTCGGTGGCTAGATCCAAATTCATCATATATGCGCTTTTTTTCTGTGTGCCAAATGGTAATTATGTGGCAAGTATCTGAACTGAATACATTCTTCTTGAAGCACATATTTGAAATGCCACCATCACATCCACTAGTTGTTGGCAGGCTTTTCTTTTTGAGTATCGTAGTTGCCCCATCTACTCGACAATATTACACATATGTGACAGATCCTAATTGTAAAAGACTTGGGACACAGTGTTGGGTCTATGCAGTCATAATGGTCACAGAGTCGCTATTGTGTATAAAGAATGGAAAAGAACTCTTTCAGCAGACAGAAATTTTTAACATATCAGTATGGTTGATGATCATGCTATTTTTCTCCGTTGTGAGCGTTTTGGGTTTTTGGCAGGCTGATTGGTTGACGGGAAAAAAATTTGATGCAGATGTTGTTCCAAACTCTATTTCAAATGATAGCAATGTTGAAGAAGACTACAAAACTAGCAAAAGCAAAACACTTTAAAATTATTTCTCAAAGTAGTAGCTTTAATTAGTAGATGCCAAATATTACATTAATACGTACCCATATTAGAATCATTAGATGACATTACAAATTGTAAACTCAATATGTGACCTATTCCTTAAAATAATTATTTTTGTATTTATTTATTTAAAAATAATGGGACATGTATATTTTCTTTTTGAGTTCTTAACTATCAGATCTTGTATTGTTATTAGTTATTGTAATAACGTTATGATAAAAGACTTATTTAAGCCTAGTCACCTTAAGTGTATTTGTTATTACCTATTTTAAATCATTTTTCTTTAAAATGATATTTATTGTGATAAAAATATAAAGTACTGAAATTGTAATATTGTGTGTTTAGTGTATAAATAGGTCACCTGAACTGCTCGTTTGTAATTTTTTTTTTTTGACTGTATTGATTTCTAATTGTTCCATAATATTAAATAAAATCTATTGAAAAAATAAATGTCTTGTAGAATAATTATAGTAATAGTATACATCATTATAAATACTAAAATACCTAAGCGTTGAACATATTTTATTTAAATGTTTGCTCAAGGTAATATATTTAGCGTATTAAAGACAAAATATAATAACATAGTGTAGTACCTATTTAAACCATTTAATTCATTATTCTACCTATATTAATATTCTGTTTGTGCTTCTAAAATTTAAATTTTATTTAAATTATTTTGAATATTACATTTAAATTGTATTGTTAATTGTTATACTTATTTTTCTATCATACTTCAATGTCATAATATATTCCTATACAGTTTACAATTATTATAACTTTAATAATCTTGTAGGTATTCCTTAATTTCCATAAAACGTAGAAATGAAAACATACTATATAGGGAAAAAAAATGTTTATTCATCAGAAATTAAACCTTAAGCTATCGTTTTTGTAGACATTATTTGGATAATACTCAGATAACTAATTTAAATACGTTGGTAGTTTGAAGATGTGTTACTTTAAATCATAAAATAATTTAAATAGTAAATAAATAATAATGTATGTACAACCAATTGACAAACAACCCGCTCTCATTACTAATATAACTCAGAAAATGTAACAATATTGTATTATATTTTCAAAATATTATCATACTTCAAATTATGTCAATACTATTACAATTTATTATAATATTGTTTAATATAATTATATAAATAGCTAAGCAGTAATAATTATTGCTTTGGTTATCTCGTGCATTAAACTGGATAGTAATTTTGATTAAATTAATTATTCATTTTTGGATGTACATACATGTTTTAATTAATTGTATCTCTTATCACATATATTTTTATTACAGCTAAATAGTTTTCTTAAAATATGTAATTATAATAAAAATTTAAAATATTAACTTGTAATATGTATTTAAATAATTGAGTTTATGTCAGTATAAAACATCCTGTAAGCAATGTTATGAATTATTATAGGAACCTATTCTCATATAGTATTTTTAATTGAAAAAATATATTAATTAATTATTTTATATTATCTTCTGGTGCCATTATAAATATTTTTGCTTTAATATAACCAATTACCAGCTTATCTTGTATAAAATAATATGGCATTTATGACTTATAAAATGTCATCAGACTTTTATTATACTAAAACTGCTAGAATACATTAAATATACTAAATAATAATTGTATATCGTGCATAGTTATATTTAAACTCTTATAATGTTTAGAATCGTCTAGGGTTCTTAGGCTTAAGCCAAAATTATGAAGAGCCTCACTATAAAATAAATTATTAATAAAACAAAATTATACATAATAATTATGTATAAACAATTATTGTTTTGTCATTAAGACCACTTAGTTTCTTATATCAGTGATCGTAGTATATATACCTATAGTACGGCTCTAACATTGTAACAACCCTGGTAGTTTTCTATACATTTTAGTTGCTGTGTTTAATCATTTAGATTTAAATATTATTTATTTTATTCAGTTCTATATCTATTTTAAAAATACATACTTCTCAAAAGTCAATATTAATTTGCTCTAAAAGTATTTTGTTTTTATTAATTTGTAAAGATAGAACTACTACTTATGTATTATGCATATTTTTGACTCACACAAAATTAAAAAAAAATTGTGATAGTGTAATTTTGTTAATATTTTTATACATTCAGAAAATCATAAGTACAATTTTAATTATTTCATATTTACATATTACTTTGTTATAACTTATACTTATATCTGTATATAATATTATATTCAATAGCTGTACATTATTTAATTTGCATGATTTACATTATTTACAAAAAATATATAGGTAATATGTACATTATAACAATTTACATAATATATATTACATACAATTTTATTCTACATTATAAAAATTAAGTATACTTCAAAGAAACACTGAGTTTTTTTTTATCAAGTAGTTCAACTGTTCTCTAATTCTGTCATAACTTTTTTTAACCATTCTGTGTAATATGACACACGGGTATACACACCAGGTCTATTTTTTTTGCCGCATCCATCGCCCCACGATACCACACCTGTCAATATAAATTTTCCTGAAAGAGAAAAAAAACTTAATTAGTCTAGCTAACTTTTTGATTTAAAAGTGAAGACTTAATACCCACCCTTACAATTCTATATTTTTCATTTCACCCCTAACCTATATTATTATATTGAACTAAAATTGGGTATTGACTACCACTCCCCTATTAAATACTTAATATGATCCTTTGAACATACCATTTGCTTGACAGGCCAGTGGTCCTCCAGAATCGCCTCCACAAGCGTCTACTCCTCCTTCTAAACTTCCCGCACATAACATACTGTCCAATATGAACTGGTGTCGACCTCCATATACATCTTCGTGTCGGCAGGTTTCCAAATCCAGCAGGGGTACTGACGCAGCTTGCAACACTTTGGACAAACTGGTCATATCGTCTTCTAAAAAAAATATTTAAACATAGTATACGTTCACATACACAGACGAGACACGCCGTAGAGTCGAAAGGCTGAAAAACCATCAATATTAATATTTAATTATATGGTAATTCAGGTAATTGTATTACGTCATGATCGTATTCAAAAGGAGGGGGGTCAAACTATCCCGGTATTTCTTTAATAATCTCTAGGCAACGCTCGCCAAACCCCTTCATGTTCTTAACCTTTCGGATGTTGTGTTAAAAATGATTTTTAGATTTCAATTTATACTAATTTCTCATAATAGTATTTTTTTTATCGATATCCCACTTTTTTCGTGATATTTCTTATATTGTTCTATTTTGGTATTTTACGTACATAATAATTAATAGTTTCTTATTCTCGACGGAATGAATCAATCATTTTCAGTTCTTCTAACTATTGTTAAATGTTTATTAATCTCAATCTATCTATATAATATTATATATTATTATTTATACTATAGGTCCATCGTCCATACAAATTGGAAAAATTATAGTCATTACTAATTTGTATAAAACATAAAAACACTTTTTTCAAATATTTTTCGGTTACAAATACCATTTCTATATAAATAGCCTTATATTTTTTAAATAGAGATGATTTGTTTTAATTTTAAATAAACTAGTAAAATATATACTTGGACCCCCTTAGACCTTAAATAATATTATACTACTTTAAAATGCAGGCTGGATACCAGTAGGTATATGACCATGATGTACCTAAGGTATATCAGAGAGACTAGAATAGGACTAGAATTCTAGTCTTCATGACTTATATCATTGATTATAAATACTAGTATTTATAATCAATGCTTATACAGGGTGTTGCACGATATATGTGTCAAACTTCTAGAGGTGTTTCTACACCTCAAATGGAACAAAAAAAGTCCTTGTGATCATAATCGAATAATTCAAATTATCAACAATAAGGGTGAAAATTTCCATGTTTGTGTTTTTTTGTTAAACGCAAGTTTGATTCATAATAATGTTCATATCTGCTAAACCATAGGTACTACAATTTATTTGAATAGATTGATGAAAAGCTAATAAAATTTGGATTAAGAAAACATATCTTACAAGGTTCCCATTTGATTTTTGGGGTAAAAAGAATAACACACATAACTTTAAAATGTCGAAATTTTAAAAAAAATTCAGTTTTATCCAACAATTTTTTTTTTAAGGTGGGTGCAAATTTCAAAAAAACTTCAAAATGTTATAAGCTTTTCAACAGTGTCGAGTTTTTCGTTAAATTTTAATATAATCAGTTTACCAGGTTTTGTATTTATTGCTTAGAATTTGTTTACGTTTTCCCGGTTTTTCCACACATTAGGTGGAATAGCGGCCCTTCAGAAAGGTTTAACTTGAAAAACTTATAACATTTTGAAGTTTTTTTAAAATTTGCACCCGCTTGCCATAAAAAAAAAAATTGTCGGATAAAACAGAAATTTTTTAAAATTTCGACATTTTAAAGTTATAAAAAATGTGTGTTACTATTTTTACCCCAAAAATCAGGTGGGAACTTTGTAAGATATGTTTTCCTAATCCAAATTTTATGAGCTTTTCATCAATGTATTCAAATTAATTGTGGTACCTACGGTTTAGCAGATATGAACATTATTATGAATCAAACTTGCGTTCAACAAAAAAACACAAACATGGAAATTATCACCCTTATTGTTGATAATTCGATTATGGTCACAAGGACTTTTTTTGTTCCATTTGAGGTGTAGGAACACCTCTAGAAGTTTGACACATTTATCGTGCAACACCCTGTATATATACACGGCCACACGGGACGCTTTGATCCTGTAAACTGTAAAGTTAGGAAGTTAAACTTACGTTTTTGTGCTCCCCAACCGGTTACGGTACACCAATCTACGTCGTTGGGTTTCGTATAGTAATCCGGCAAACAAATTGGTTGCACATGCGAATCAAATTTTACTCCTTTACTGTTCAATGAATTAATTTTTAATACCGCTATGTCGTGGCTATGTGGTCCGTCTGAAATGTTATATTCTATCACATAAAATCAACGGTAAAATGAAACTTAAATGTTTAACAAAGAACATAATTAGGTTGTGTTGTAAAGAATATTTACAAATAAGTCCACCGGGGAAACAATATCCTAAAAATATACAAAATCAAAATGTAAAAATGTCTATGTTGATTATTGATTGTAGGACTGTAGGTACATAAGCTAAAAACTACTGAAATATTTGACCTCTAATTGGGAACGAATTATAGTATTACCTGTACACATTTTTTACGAAAATAATTTTTTTTCATCGGAGAATAAATGATAAAAACTCAATCAAAAAGATTTATAAATGTTAAATTATTAAATCCTAACAGTAAACCTAAATACCAGTTAACAAACAATAATATGGTCTATTTTATAATAAACACTAAACAGGTATTATACCAATTGTTTATTTCCATTATAAATATTACATCTATAAATCTATTTATACAGTCTTAAAATAGTAGGTACCTACCTTTTCTAAATTCAGGATGTACTAATGCCTTTTGTACTCTATATGTTTTTTCATGTTTATCATTTTTTGCTAAATTATGTTTACCAACAATAATACGCAGTTGGGATTTTTTAAAGTCTTTCAAGCAATGGGCGGCCGTTAAGGCTATAGTTTCGGAAATTAATGCTCCTCCGCAGTGATGTTCCCATCCATCTTTGTATGCTTGTAATTCGACCTGCATAACAATGGTTAAGAAATTAAAAATCAAATACCTAGTCACTAAATAGATGCAAAGTATGTATTATAATGACGAGTGATGACAATCAATAATTGCAGAATAATAGTCGTTCAATTAAAGACATGCTTATTTTTTCTCTTTAAAAATCTTAATTGACAATTGTCGTTTGTTAGGTACATAGGAATTTCACATATGCATACAAGATGTTGTAATTTTGAGTGATGATAAATCAAAAAAATTTATTGATATTTTAATACTTTATAGTGGGTAATTTATACGAATATTTATTTGATATTTGATAGGTATACTATGCTCTTGAAGTACTGGATACTCCCATCACACAAGATGTGATCTTAATTCTTAACTGCCTTTTATAATTTTTACTTATTGTATTACCTATACCTATATACTGTAAAATATATTCTTTAAAATCATTAAAATGAAAAAATGTCCTACTATACCTATACGTACATAGAATAACAAGACATACGAACCTAAAATTAAATTATTTTTTTATCGTTTCCCTTCTCCGCCCTTTTCTAAGAATAATTTATTATTTTGTCATTCTTATGTCAGTCGGTTTTTTTTTCAAAAAGTAAGCTAGATGTTTATCAAGATAAGTGTCACTAATGAGCGACTCCTTAATCCGACCCCTTTATGTCTACTCCTACTTTTAGACCTCAGTCCTTAGTATAATATGAGCTATTTGTGCAAATAAAATAAAAAATAAAAACTTACAATAATTAAAAAGATTACCTACCAATATACTTAACAGCTGCAGGCTACTATCAGGTTCAATTAATCGGTGACCATTAGTTTTGTTCAGAAAACATACCTATAGCCTAACGATACTTATGCAGTTAGGTATGCCGTATGCATTATATAATTATAGGATAAAAGTTAATAAAAAAGGTAACAGTAGTCAGTAATATACGCCTCTACCGTATATAAAATGTATACTGTAATAAGTTTTAATGTCCACGTGCATGCGACGTCCTTGCAGAATTTACATAATATAATATATGTACATCGCATTATACCTATATCAGTTGATGTTTTTATTTTTATATAATATGGGCCATACGGTTTAACCTATTATTGGTGCATTAAAAAGCTCTTGCTCTAATTGCGAAACACACGATACGATAAATATTTAAAATAGGAAGGGTAATTTACTTTGGTCTTGCGTATACCTACCTAATTACAAGAACTCGATTAAAAAAGTTATAAATTAGAATATACGGGCGTGTATTTCATATAATATAATATTATCATAATAATTAGGTTGGTCGTAGCCCGTAGGTGAATTGTAAACAAAGCCAATCGTATATTTCTTATTACCTGCCAAGGATATGCTCCGTATGGAGTAGTCGAGCCTCCAATGATTTTGGTCTGCGGCCATCTCCTTTGATTCAACTGATGAGATACTACTCTAGTACCGCAAGCGGCGTGCTGCAGATTATCTGGAAAATCAAAATAAATACGTGTACAAGAACAGTTTTAACTCTTCAGTAAACCAATTTCGTTGTATAATTTTCACGAATATAGTGCAACAATAAATGAAAAACATTTTCGCTCGCCTGTTCGACGCTTGTACAATAGGTATATTTAGCCACTCCACGCGCGCTTTGTCCCCCAAAACAAAACGCACATAAAGAAGCTATAATATATCATATACATACAACTGCGGTCGAAGTTTTATATTAATATATATAATGTAATATTATATTAGTATACTACTTAATTGAAGTGATGAATATTAAATTAATGAATAATATGGTTTTGAACTTTGAACGCTGCGCCTCGACGGTTTATATTAGGTATACCTAATATAATGTATTGTAAAATAGCGAATAGTAATATATTATGTATACAGAGTGTATCTGGATGAATTGACTATTTAAATGAGCAATACTGTTAAATCCTCGAGATACACGCCATGTATATTATTATGGGCATATTTCGTCCGATCACTATGTCAGTGAGCTGTCGTCGTAACGCGAATATAAACAATGTACATTTGTACGTGCGATGTCGGTAAAACGATGTAAATATTTTTTACTAAAGACCGAAATCGAATGGTCTCTCCGGCACGCGTAGTGTTGTAGTTTGTATCGACTCGATCGACTGGGACTGTCACTATATAAGTGACGCTGGTGAGTGGCCGACTGTTGCAGGGTAGGCACTATAGGTTCTTATATATATATACAGGACTCCATACTGTAATAAATATTATACACAGACGTCGATGACTATAAAATATTATTATTGAGCAACGCCCCCACCCCTGCTTGTACATTTTATTATTAAATGATATTGTTTTATTTATGACGTAACGGTCCTCTAATGGACAAAACGTGTCGTCTATACCTGCATGACTGCATAACCGCCCGCTAAGAATATTGGCACCGGTTGCGATATAGATATTTATAATACACCATTTTCATTTCACCGGCCCACATGCCGAGCTCGCGCATTGATGGTTTGATTATTGAAAACATTTTTTTTTTCATCGACCTGACGACCTCGTCTCTTACCTGCAGTATTTACACATATCGTATTATATCAGCGTCCTTCATGGCAAAACGGTTTTTTTTTTGCAGCTGCACCAGGAACCACGTGGGGGCCGATGGACGAGCCTGCAGATTCATCGTCGTCGTGTACGCTGCCTGAACTGGTGGACGTCGATGTCTCGGCCATCAGTCACGAACGACTCAAAGACCTTACGGGCGAAGTCTTGAACACGGTGCTGGACAAAGACAGCGTTTTAGGAGACCTGCCAAATAACGTGACGTTGGGAGAAGTCGATTTACAAATCGCGATTGAACACGGTCGAGCGATAACAGTATACCTAGAACGCTTCGACGGAATTGTCATCCCAATTGTCGTCAGTATAACATATTTAAACACCCCGAAATTTCCGGCATTAAGAATGTCATATATTGTAATTTGTCTGTCTTTTTTAGGTACAGAAGAATGGAGCAAAAGTGGCCGACTTGAAAAAGAGCATAGAAAGAAAAATGACGTTACATTTAAAAAGAGCTGGCGAGAGATCAACCATCAGTTGGAGACGAATATGGAAAACTTATTGGTTAAGTTGTAATGGGAAAAAAATTAAGTGTAATTACGATTCCATATCCAAGTACATGGAAAACAACTCAAAACTAATATTTGTAAAACGATTTAGAGAAAAAAACATTCACGATCAATAACTTAAAAATTAATATTTAATATTACAATAATTTATAAATAGAAAAATTAAAAAAAAAAAATGTAACTACATAATTATTATATTGATGATTGTTAATTGTTAAGGAGTATAATATATCAAATAGATTAATTGTCTGATGATACTGAAGATGATGAAGAATGTGATGTTTGTGAACTGTTATCATTGTCCTCACCATCTTCTGAGGACTCTTTACCAACCAATTTATAGTATTCAGCCATAGTAATTTTTTTAGGTAAAACCTCTGAAACACAAAATAGGTAAAGACACTCATTATTCAAAAAGTATTAATGTTTTTGAAAATAATTTTTACATAGTTTCAATTCATTACAAAACAACGTAATTAAAAAAAATATATTTTTAAATACCTATTTTTTATCTTTATAATTTTTTTATTTTGGTGAACAACATTCAAGATGAAGTTTTAATTTCTTCAAAAGCAGAATATTTTATTGGGTATTTCTTTACATCAAAATCATGATGAGTAGTAAATTCAATTTTTATTTATCAAAATACTCAGAAAAATATTCTGCTTTTGAAATTAAAACTTAATGTTCTAATTTAAAAAAGTATTAAAACTTAAAAAAATGTTAAGGAAAAAAAATATTCATTTTCAATGACTAGAAATCGTATACATTTTTTTAAAAAAAAAACATTCAATTTACTTTTTGAATTAATGAGTATTTAATGATAAAATAATCACATAATCACATTGCTTAATTGTTTAATGTATATTATGCAGTATGCACATGATTCAAAATGTCAACGTTTCATCACACCAAATTCAAAAACCAATTACATATAGCATATTGTTCATAAATTCATCTTATATGCATAATTAACATGAAATAAATCAAAACATTTGATTTATTGGATTTTTGTGCATTATTTGTATTTTGTTTTATCTATCTTCCCAGTTCCCATACAAAACATAGCAATTTTGTGTTATCAAATTTTAATATTAGACAGTATTTGAATATTCTGTGGTTTGAATGTTGATTTTTTAAGATATAATATGAGCATTTTAAATTGTAATATTTTACATATTCATAACTAACTTGCATAAAATTAATTTCTTAAAAAAAAAACTAGAACACTCTTAACATCGACATCATAAACATTGCCCAGGCCTACCCGTCAATAAATATGTGTTCACTTTGATGATACATAATTTTGATGGGCGATGAGATAATGTTTTGAAATATATTGTAGGCAATTAGGTACTATTTCAAGAAGCTAACAATATAAATAATATAATTGGTTTTTATTTTTTGCGTTAGTATTTTTCTCCCCTGAAATAGTCGACCAGACATATTTTTTGCTTGGCAACATGGGCTATGCTTTGATAATTTTAGTGGAGCTCAACGTGTTAACTTTAAATTTGATATTAGGTCAATTCACTCGAATATTAAAGCCAAAAATATGAGTTCTATTGAACAAAAAAATATTTGATTTTTGTGAACCAAAATTAAGTCTATGTGTGAGGCATCCTATAGCAGTGTATAGGGGTTGAGAAATGAAGCAAAGAACTCCCGGTCTCAATGAAAATGTGAATAATTTGATCTATAAGCACAATACAAAAGTACATCCATTTTTACATATGATATAGACAATACTCATATAGTAGATAATATCAACTATCAAGTTTAAAATATATAAACTATAATGCATACAATTCCAAGTTCTACAACTAGTAATATTTTATGTTAGGTAACTATGACAAATCCAGTTTCAATTATGATAAAAATCCCAATTGGGATAATTCAAATATTCCTATCATTGAGACCTACAGTCCATCATAACAAAAAATTTTTAAATTAATTATAAAGTTATAAATCATACACAAAAAAAATATATACCTCTAAGGAAATACATATTTTCATTTTCTTCAACAGCTCTGGCAAGATCGTTATATTCTAAATGTCTGAAGTGTCTTTGTCCTTTGAGAGCATCCAGTGCCAGTTTTTGTATAAATAGTTCCTATAATACAATTAATAATTGATTTAATATAAATAAATTAGTTTCTATATAAAGATGAGATGTAATCAAAAGAAACTGGACACCTATACTGTGTTTGCTGAGAGAACACAACTCACTAGCGCATTATTCACAGTTTCGAGGTCTAATTCCCCCACCAAGAGGCTTCTATTTACGTATACATACTACTACGGTTGTGGCTGAAGCGTCATCGTCATCGTCGACACGGCGCTCGCGCTGGAATAGTGGTGGGAATGTGCAATAGTGAATGAGCTTTGGGTAATTAGGTGCCACCCAGTTGCATTCTTTCAGCAAAGGCAGTATAGTAGTATTTAGAATTAATGCTTCTAACTAAGAGCAAAATAATTTAGTCACTTCACTAACCTAACCTAACTTTGGGATAATGCCAAAATATTTCCAAAAAATAAAATCTAAATAAATTTCAAACTTTAATTATATAGCCTTCTAGGATTTCTAATTGAGCTCCTTATGTGTCTCATAATACTATACAATCTGATATTAAACTTAAATCCATGGATGAATAAGCAAAAACATTTTTCATAACTGACTTTCTACTCTAATAAAAAACTTCTCTATGAAAACGAAAACAGCCCCAGGAAATCCGCAAAGGCTACATATGTGGAACTAATGTTGTGATCTATTAAATTAATAACATACAAATTAAAATAAATGTATACAATTTTAAATTTAATAGTTTAAAATCAGGCGCGGTTCTAGGACTACATTTTCATATGGGCAACAGTAGATTTATAATTAGGTTTTAACTGCGAATAATATTCCTCATTTCTCCCCCCTTACCCAATAAGGGGCACCAGAAATTTTGGTATGGGCAGCTGCCCACCCTGCCCATACGCTAGAACCGCCACTGTTTAAAATGTCATCAAAGACTAGTTTTTTTCAAAATTGTTTTGGTTTTCTCTGTTCTCATATATTATGCCTTAAGATGCAGATTGTATATTTTCTATTAAAATTAAAATTAAATACTTCAACTGTAGTATTAACATCAAAATTCATTTTTCTTAGTATGTATGCTGCTTGGACGACGGAAAATGTAAAATTAAATGAGCATAAAAACATACCTACCTAACATGGAAATAATATACAGTATACACGATATACCATTATAATTTATAACACTAATACAATAATTAATTATAACTATATTAACATTCTAGCATTGACGTGGCGAACTAAAAATTTTCCAGAGGCAAGTTACAAATATCCCAAGTATTACTATAATATAACTAATTATATTTCAGATCGTTATTAACTACGTATTGAGTATATCATATTACATTTACTTGGGAACTCACCTCTGAAATTACCGTTCACCACACCACTTGCATTCTAGTACCCATTATAATCGTTTTAAATAAACAAACTCACTATGAAATTACTAGTGTAATCACTATTAAATTTTTAGTGAACTTCAATAGATGATGTAAATGACAGAAATGTAACCAATGAAAACAGTTATGACACGTTTTGATGTTAAGCAGATTGCAGATACTACTCTTTAAATTACAATAATAAAAATTTAAAAATAATACGGCTATATAGAAGCAATTGTTCATAAAAGTTAACAAGTAATAGAATAAATTATATTATTGAAACATTGATATAAAAAAAGTATGGTTGTATTGTTACCGTTGCTTTAGTGACAACATGCAATGATGGTAATCCTATGTTTTCAATATCTGGTGTACTTTTCATGATGGTACGTACTCTTGATATGGGTAAATGCATATCTTTAGATTTTGGAGTTTTTGATTTGTCTTTATTCGGATCGTTTTGGTCAGTACTAGTACTGGAATCTAAAATCAAATAAGTATTTAATGCAAAAATATTTTAAAACTACAAAATTAAAACTTACTGTTAAATGCTGACATAATTACTGTTGTCAGGAAACTTTGGTACTCAGACTAGTAAATTATCAAAATGAGCATGAATTTTGATGAACAAGTTTTTTGGAAACGCTTTGTGTAGTTGTATAGGATATTTAGTATTATTTATTTATGTAGGTTATCTTAAAAGTCTTACATGAGTTATAATGGCTATGGACTATGGAGAACAAACTATAATATATAACATTCAGTATTGTAATTATAACCACATTTTATTTATTTCATCCAAACATTCATGCTTTGTTTGCTTACAATAAAATTTACATTGATAATAACGGTCGTCCTATAACAAAATAATATGCTCCAACCGTGATAACACCGAAAATGGTTCACATCCATGATTGATAGCCACAGCCAAGATCTTCTTCAAGATCTTCAAGGTCTGAAGACCATGTTTACACCATGAACTACTACTAGTAGTTCATGGTTTACACCACTGTTCTATGTTTACACGTAATCTATAATCAATTATTTACGTTGGTGTTATCAACGCCCCGTTCGGCGCTCAGGCTCAGCTTCAGCGCTTAGTGCAGCACTGCAGCTTATGCCTTATTCAGCTTATATTATAGTATTATACCCATAGACTTATAAATATTTAATTATGTATTATACTTGTTGTCTCGTTAGTACTTAGCAATTTATAAGTTTAGTACAGTATAATGTTGATTGCAAATTGGCGAAATAATTTTATTAATTTTTTATTTCCAATAACCATTAAATCGTTTATTATCCTATAACAATCCATAATTAAAAAAGGCAGGTAAGTGGATGTCGCTCAGCTGTACAGTAGGTTACAAGTTGGTCATTGTTTAATGGATTGTATTAAACTTGAATTTAATGATATAATATCTTTGTATAAGAAAAACGATTCTGAACGGAGACGGTTTGTCAGTCTGTATATTTTATATTGTCATTAATTATTTTATTTATTTAATTATTATTTTTTTTATTCGTTGCTACGGTGATAAACAAATTGTTAGAAATTAAAATTCCATTTTAAGCGGTTTTTCGTAATTTTTCAGTACTTTTTCCCGTGGCATTAAATAACTATTGAGAAAATCGAAAAATGTCCTCTCTAAAGTACCATATTGGTCCAATTTGCTAAAAGATAAGGTACTATATGTTGAAATCAAAGCACTCCTTCTGGTAGAAATTTTGTATACAGGATATAAAAAAAAAAATAAACACCATTGTAAAACCACTAGCTTCCTTGCTCCGCTCAGAATCTAAAATAGCAATATTTGTTTGAAACGTTTGAAGCAAATTTAATATTATACAGGTGGACATCACGTCAACGTTTGCCACTCCGTGATCTGATTTGTATTTACTTACACAATGATTTCAATATTGGATCAGTTTGAGCAGGGAGTTGAAAGCACATTTAAAATTGCTCCTACGTCCAAGCAATCGGTAAATAATTTCTTCATATTAAACCTCCTATTCTTTAGCCGGGTTGTATGAACACAAATACACAATAAACATTTATTGAATTAATAGTGACCAGTGAGACATGTAAATATTAATTAATCTCTAGAACCAAGTTAAATATAATATATACCCTTGGATCAAATAACTATTTCTAAGATAATTCCAATTTTTATTAACTAATTTATTATTTGTACTTGTGTAGTCAATAACATCTATACCTGTTATAATTATAATAAGTTATTCCACTTAAATTTAAAATATTTTATATTACAAAACATGATTTATTTTTTACCATATATTTTAGAAAGAATTACATTCTGTACATCAGTTGAAATACAGGCCCCCTATGCTCTGGAACTTATACATTTTAGGGCCGCAATTACAAAATATCGGGGGGGGGGTGTTCAGACACACCCGGCATCCCTCATGTGCATGCCTATCGCCTATGGAGCTATTATAGTTCCTTAAACATTATTTAGTCCATTAAATTGTATGTAACCATTAAATGAATTAATTGTTCAAGCAACCAAGCATTAAACTGTACCTAACCTAACCAAACAAAACTTTGATTACAATCCAATATTGTAGCTCGATGAAAGTTTTGATAGAGACGAAGATCTTCGAGGAGTACCCATACTGTCTAAGAAGAAAGTAAATTTCTCTCCAAGCGATAAGATCACTCAATTGCTGGTAAGCAATGAATATGTGGTATTAGCCATGGTCAATAATGTGTTGCTGCGAATAAACTTAAAACAGGATAATATTGAAGGTGAGATTAGTTGGGCCACAATTGAAGTATATGCGATTAAGCTAAATACTCCAGGTCTTGAGTACTGTGATAAATGTGTACACTCACACGGTTGAAATGTATTATTTTGTAACAATTGCAAAAATAACTTGTCTTATATGCTTTTAGAAATCGATACATTGAAAACTTCATCTCTAAAAGTAAAGCAATTATTCTTAGATCCATTTGGAGAACATTTACTAATTTCATGTGGTAACATAACAAGTTCTCAGCTTTTTTATGCAACTAAACAACTGTCCAAACTCAAACCTGTAAGGGAAAAAATGAAATGAATTTAGAATTGCCGTGTTTTTTCTTATTGGTTCTAGATAATAAACTATTGTTTAATTTTTATAGGTGGGCAAATATCAGGGTTCAGAGATAACATCTGTGGCTTGGAACTGTGATCGTAGGGTAAAATCTACGTCCAGCACGACTGGCCCTATATTGCTTGGAAATTCATCTGGTGCTATAATCGAAACACAACTAGGAACCGAGTTTGATAGGTTTTTTCAAGGCAGCGTAGTTCAATATTGGAAAGAGGTTTGTAATACTGCCGTTATTTTACCAACACAATTAATTTTATGAACTGCATATTATAGGTGTTTGATATAAGTAAAGGACAACCTATTCCTATAATTGGTCTCCAATATCATAGAGTTGGAAAATCAGATCTATTTTATATATTAGCAATCACACCTACAAAGTTGTATCAATTTGTCGATTTCATATTTAATAAAGATGAAAGACCGATGTTACAACAAATCTTCAACAATTATTTGACTATTCCAGGCTAGTATAATTTTACACCTATATAATTAAAGAAGAATTAACTACAATTCATTATTGAAAATTATCTACTGGGTGGGTATCTACTGTAGTATCAGGTATTCTGTGACTATAAGAAAATAGAAAAACATAGTGGCCCACTCTGTACAGTTGATCATTCAAGTGGTATTTAAATCTAGTATACTTAGTTCAATCTTAAAATAAGAAAATTATGTGTACATTTTAATAATTGTTTTTCTGTTTTACAGAACGTTTTTATGAAGTCCCGACCTTAGTGAAACATGGCAAATTACATTTTTATTTCTTAAACAATGATTTTACCGTTCCAAAATATTTTGGATTTCTCACCGAGTTAGGAGTATTTGTTGCTGAAGTGAGCCACTATTTTTCCTAAATCAATATAGTGGAGTTTAATTTCACTTCAAAACATTTGTTACAGGTAGATATAAACAAAGATGAGAAAACAATATTTAGCTCGCATGAACTCATTGAGTATAGTCGGCTGTATGGAAGAGATGATGATGATTTCACTGTACCATTATCAATGACATTTACGCGTTATCATGTATTGTTGTTGTTTCCAGAGAGAGTTATTGCTGTTTCTTTAGTAGCCCCTGCAGATCGCAATGCATCTCAAGTGATGGATGAAGATTATTGTTCCGATGTAAATGGTTATTTATTTTTGATTTTATTCTTTGATACAATTAAATATGTCCTTTAGAGCCATGGTAGACTGTTGAATATAACTAAAGATCTGATGACTGGAACAATTTGGTTGTATGCAGAGCGTGCTGTTTTTAGATACAAAATGATTAAAGAAGATCGTCATGTTTGGAAAGTATGATTGAGATCATAAAACAATTATATTATTTTAAAATATTAACTTCAGTATTTTTGGTTAGGTCTATCTGGATAAAGGAATGTTCGAAGAAGCAAAAGAAATATGCATTAGCAATCCTTACAGGATGAATCAAGTGTTAGTTAGACAAGCAGAGCATTTTTTCAATTCAAAACAGTAATTAATCAATTGCTTACCTATATAAATACTGTGAACATTATCATTAAGACACAAATACAGTTAAAGTCATTAATTATCACTTGTTTTGTAGGTATGAAAACAGTGCACTGATATATGCCAATTTAAATGTATCATTTGAAGAAATTGTATTAAAATTTTTACATTTAAATGAAAAAAAACCCATAAAACTATTCCTTATGAAAGTATGATATCTAGTTTAAATTTATAAATGTTTATAAGTATTAAAAGATTATTTCTTTGGATTTGTTTGCAGAAATTGGATAGTTTAAAGTCACATGATTATACAAAAATCACAATGGTAACATTGTGGTTGATTGAGTTGTTTTCTAATGAATTAGCTGTTCTTAGAAACTATAAACAAGGAAAACCACAAGAATATGCTATGCTGCAAGAATCATTTCAAAATTTTTTATCTAGACCCATTATTCAAGTAAAGATCTACTTATTAATTAATAACTTAATGCAGTGGATGCCACTTACAATACTCTTTGGTACCAGCACAATAGCTGCTATTTTACTTATGACTGTATATTGTCTAGTCTCCGCTTTCACTGTGTTTATTGTTTTAGATTCTGAGCGGAGTAAATTAAGAGGACACCACAACTGCATGTGTTTTCTCCATCTTACAAATGTACAACATAGCAAAAACTGTTTTGCACGGGACAACTGTTCTCTCACCATATTTGTTGTAGAACCACCAAATTTTCACAACACGTAAAGAAAAACTTAATCCGTGCAACAGCGTGCCCATATTTTAGATAACTTAAATACAATAAAAGTTATTTGCTTCTAAACATTTTGTTTTTTCATTTGCTTATAAAAAATGATTGGATGGTGCTGTTAAAAAAAAGAGCACACTGTTGCACAGATAAAGTTCTTTTTTAAGTGTTGTGAAAATTTGGTAGTTCTACTTTCTATAACAAATATAGTGCGAGAACAGTT